CATCTTCCTCTCTCCCTCTTGCCCGAGAAAGCTCCCCAAGGCAAGAGTTTCTGAGTTGGAATATTTTCTCTCAGGTTTTGACTAAAGAAACCTGAAGCTATTTTGCTTCTCCCTTTCCCTCTCACACAACAGATGTGAATTTCAATCTGCTGCTAGCCGAGTTGTCAAAGCCCAGAATCCTGAGATTTCTCTCAGATTTTGGCTAAAAAAACCTGAATTTATTCTCAGGCTTTTTTTCTCCCCTGCTGGCCGAACTCTTCCCCAAGGCTCCTGTGCTGTTTTTCCTCTACAAACTCCTCCCAAACCCTATCCCACGTTGGATTTCCTGCTCTCCAAAGCTGCTGCCAGATAATTCCTGCAGTGGTTTTTGGATTTTCATCAACTTGAAGCTTCAAAACTGCTGCTGCCCTGAAAATTCCTGCAAAGAGTCCCTCTCCCTAGTAAACCCTCCTACCCGTTCTACATCAAGTGGACTCCCTCATATTTCAGCGCATAAGAATGAGGCTTAGTGGGACTAAGAGGTTAGTAAAAGGAGCGTCACTCTAAAAGAAATTAGTTTTGTTGATTAAGATAATATTTAGAACATTATATGCTTAACAGAGACAAAGTTTGTTGTTTCTAATAGTTAGACCCTTTAGAAGAATTTGCTAATTCCTTCTTTCTCTAGAATGAAGCTGAAATCTATAGTTGTGAACCTTAAGAGTTTTGTAATTGGATGCTTTATCGATTAAAAGCAAAAGAAGAAACAAAGAAACAAAGTATTTTCCATCTACCATAAATACGATGAAAATTTTTGAATGGGCACTTCAAATATGCCAGACTAATTCAAATGACAATAAGAGAATTTTAACTGGCAAAGCCTGCAAAAAGAATTGATGATAGTATAGGCTATCAAATTCAACCATTTTGGCCTTCTAAGCGACAAAAACTCTCAAATATTTCGTTAATTGAAAACATGGCATAATGATAGTTACGAATAAATTCCTATAATATTAATTACAGATAAAGATGATATAACTAGTTGTAGTTTGCATTCATATAGAGAACTACAAAAATATTATTCATAGAAACCCACAAACAAGACTCAAATTTATGATATCTACCTTCAGAATCAAAGAGCAATCTTGAGCAAAAACCATAAAAAGTAAGTTAAAGTAAGCCATTCCTAACATGGACTTCATCATATGCTTGCTAGATTCAAAGTAAAAGATTGCTTTGGGAATGTAGGAATGAAGGGACCTATCAAGCACAGCTTAAATTTTAGAATGGGCGCTGTTCCTTAGAACTAACATGATCTGTGTGCCTGAAGGACATTATTTGAAAATCTTTGCACTAAAACTGGCGGCTCATTGTAATGCAAATGAGACATTATTCACTAGAAATTAATAATATTATTATCTCAATTGATCAGAACAATGTTTGAAATGGATTAATATTCAACTTTAACAAGCTTTTCAAAAGCATTTTGCAAAGAAGTTGCTCTGTTGGTAAGGATTTACAGCTTTATCAAACTGATTCATTTATTATCTTCCATTTCAAATATAATGTTATTGTATAAAAAAAAAGCAGACATTAATGCATTTAAAAACAATATAGCAAAATATAACAAAAATAGTAATGAAGTATTTAGTACACATAATTTTATGTAAAATCAAGGTGACTGGTACAAGGGCAATCAAACGTGAATGTGAATGAAGTACAATAAATTGAAAATGGATGTCCATAGATAACATAAATCTATAAAAGTAGGATGGCCTAGAAGGAAACAATTTTTGGAATACCAAAAATCCTCATTGAGCTCTCTGTGTGATCATGATGTGTGTTTTGTGTAGAAATGTGAGCATTCGACGGTTGTATGCACATAAATGAGTATTTATCTGCCAATGTGTACTAGCATAGATTTCCCACATATAGGCATGATGAGCATTGAAGTTGTTAAAAACAGGCAAGACATTCATGCTTGATTGAGATGATGCGAGCTAGGGGGTGTAAGTGAGCCGACTAGAACTTGATTCACTAACGAGCTTGCAAGCCGAGCTTTTAGAGACATGAGCTTGAGCTTATATATTAAATTAGCAAGAATTAGAGCTTGACCAGGCTTGGCATGTCGGCTCAAGAGCTAGCTCAGATATTTAGGCACTATCATGTCAGGCCCTATACATGCTCAAAAAATTTAAAAAAGCTACTGTTATCAGATTTATTTTCCCTGTTTACTTTATTCATCATGTAATAACTTATATTATACACCCTTTCTATCTTATTTGTTCAAAAGCCTATGCTAAGAAAGGTAGAGGTAAACCTAAAAAGATTATATTAGAAGGTATTAGAAATATCTTTTTTGGTTAAATTTAAATGAGAATTTGACTCTTAATAGGACACGATTGAGAAAAAAAGATTCATGTAGCTGACTCCAAATAGGGGGATAAAGGCTTAATGAAAAAATTATTAAGCAGTGCGCAAATGCATATGCCGACACAAATACATACGTGAGTATGTTAGCATGCAAATGAAGGTATAAGAAAGTGTGTGAATATGCAAATATATTATATGCACCTGTTGCATTGCATGCTTATGCAAATACATCTTGCAAAATGCATTCAAAAGTATACACCCGCATGGGCTCCGACGAACGTGATGTATATACACACATGACCGAAGTTGATACGACTTGAACTACTGAACAAATACACAGTCGTAGCGTCGACAGGAGTATTTGATTTTATACGTTCATATTAAGTCTTCAACATCTATTACAAAAAAGGTTCATTAATGTTAAAAGCATAAAACTCTTGATTCTCAATATCTATATGATAACTCACAACATCAATAATTGAACACAATCCTCTATCAGCGGGCGGTCAGAATAGATACACGACATATTTTAATAATTCTCGATGATAGACGTATTGACAGAAAATCTCAGTCGAAGGGGACCCCAAATATTTAAAATGCCTTAAAAATTCTTATAAAACACAAGCATTTAAGTTGACTTCAATGTTGTCTCGATAATGATCATGTTGAATACAAATCTCAACCAGAGGGGTTAATGTTCAAAGACCTATCAAAGATCTAAAGCTCCATATTTTCCAATAATATTAATGTTTAAAATTGAAATAAAATGTCAAAACACTTAAAGCAAAATGCTCATCCACCCTTCAAAGTAGTTTGTCAAGGTGAACAAATTTAAAAATTACTTCAACTCACAAAAAGCAAATGTCCACTCGAGAACATCACTAAGATTTATTCTCAAATTATCTCCTACCAGTAAGGACATGGCATGTGTCATCTAACCGGTGGTTTAGCCATCAAATGGCACCATAAGTAAATAGTTATGACCTGGACCCTCTGACCGGGTGGTTTTGCCGCCAAATAACACCATTAAATTATGGTTATGGTTAGAGCCCATATGTTCCCCAACGGCTTCAAATCCTTGATCAATGAATCAATAGGATATGATCGATAGGGCATAAAGCCCTCTGTTAGTTGAGATGAATTCAAATTTATCCCCTTAGGAAAATATCTACCCCAAGTCTACAAGGTACCCTTGAACGAAACAACCCATCGTTGCCAACAAGGATCCTTCTGTCAAGTTGGGTCGACTACCTCCTATGACTAAGTAGACTAGACACCCTCGGGATGACGGAACCATAGGATCTTGATCGGGCTCATCATCACTTCCCACACCATTCGCTTTAAATGCACAGTGATATAAATTTTAATTTTCAAATATCAAATTATGCTGCTACTATACACCGAATACTACATATTTATTTGATAACTAGCCTTAATCAAAAGTTCTTTCTTGTTATCGGGAGGGATAATTAACTATAGGGGTTTGTGCCTATAGGAAACCTGAACTCATATCATAAAGTCATTGCAAAATGAGTGAAAAATCTCTGGAGAATGTCTTATCTAAAACCCACTCAATCTGCATTCTGAAAATTTGCCTCAGAACCTAAGCATTAAAACTCTCATCGACAACCCAAAAAAAAGAAGTGGGCCTTAAAAAGGCCGGGATGCGAATTTTCAGAGCACACAATTCCATAAAATTGACAAGATCTATTAAAATCAATAAGAAATCTCACAAGAGCTCACAAAATAAATAATTCTTCAAGTTCTTTATATTAATACAAGATCTCCAAAACCTTTTACAACCTGCAAAAAATGGATTAGTAAAATATATGCATTTAATGAGGAGATTCAACCATATTTTGTAAATATTTTATAATGTGAAAATTTAGCTCTACATATACAACTCTAAGAGCCTGCATGCACTAGTCCCACAGTAGGGATCTTCTCAAGTGATGGATTTTTTAGCATCATGTAGATAAATTTTTATTCAATTTAAATAAATTGTTCAATATAATATATGAAATTTAATAACACATTATTTGAACAATTTATTAGTCTACAGTTTTAAGATATTTGATTGAAAATTCAATAATTATAAAATCAATAAACTTAGACATCTATCTAATTTTATAGTCAGAAAAAAAGATAAATCGTTTTGATTTTAATTTTAAAAGTTCAAACGTAAAACATAAATTAATATTTTGCTAAAAAAAAAATCTAAAATTTGAGAGGTTGGTATCAAAAAAATTTTCTGATCACTGCAGGAGTTTTTCAATTCATTCCTAGTTTTGATAACACTTTAATTCTCTAATGGTGCTAGCAGTAATAATATTTTATTCGAAAATTGTTTAAAAATACTGTCTTAGTAAACTGATATAATTTCAAATTTATCTTTACAAATAATTTAAAACTATGAACTTCTATTCCCACTCATCAATATTTCTAATCACTGATCCCAGATAAAGTATCATTACTAATAGTTCAAAAACTTATCTTAACAGCCTTCCAACTGTTTTTTATGCCCTACCATCTCTACTTGTAAACAATTTACAGCTCTTTCAACTATATATTTCAAGCCATCCCCCTCCTCTGTTCCACTATATAAGAACCAAAGTATGTCATCATGTGTTAGAGAGAGAGAGAGAGACCTATTGGAAAATTCCAAGAAGCAAAGATTAGGACAACGCCGAGCGGCTCTAGCACCACCTCGCTCGTGGTCGGAAAAGCCACGAGTGGGACGCTAACCTGCAAAATTCCGAATAAAAAAAAGGATCGTAGGGTAATCCATCATTAACAGTGCATTCCGTACAATACCAAATGGTGAAGTAGTAGGAGGCAGGGGACTCCAAACCTTTTCAGGTTTCATCCATTTCTTGAGATTTTGCAGCGCATGATCCACTGACTTAATTAAAAATCCAATCTACAAACCAGAACGAATAAATAACCATTGCTTGCTCACAAAATTTCAGGGAACAAAGCAAACAAAAAAAAAAGGCGGGGAGGAGGGAGGATTCGAAAATGGGAAAATGAAATGGGAGATGTTTGGTTCAAGATAAGGAGGATACCTCATCGCGGTAAGCTTCGACGCGGTGCTTTCCGAGGTCAAGCTTAAGGGCTTCGCAGATTGCGGCCTCCTTCTCATGGAGGAGATCCTTAAGAGCTCTAAGCTGTGATCTCCTCCAAAAGTAACTTCTCGTTCCACCGCTCTCAAAGGTCTCCCTTGCCTGCTCAACAACTCTTTCCAAATCCATCGCCATTTTTCTTCTTCTTCTATCCTTCGATTCTCTAGCCTCTAATGCTCCTTTGCCTTTCAGCTTCCGAAGTTGACTACAGCGGCCAAGCGGATCCCTCCTTTGTTTGATACGTTTAGGCTGCTTATCACTTAAATAGGTCACTTTAGAAAAGAAAAAATACAAATTATACATTTATACCGTACTTATTTAAAAAATAAAAAACGAAAGGTCCGAAATAATCAAAATACAGCGGTCTTTTACTTTATGCGACACTTGTCGTACGATTCAGAATTTAAAATAAAAAAAATCTGATAAAAAACAGAAATTCTTTTTAATTTTTTTAGTAAATATCTCATTTTAAAACTAAATCTATAGGTTATATAATTATATAAAAATTTTAAGAACATGAACAAATAATTAAATTAAATTAAATTAAAAATTATGAGAATTTAGATACATCATACTAAATTATTCTATTTACATATTTAGCAACTAAAATTTCTAGTTTTTTCACGTAATATTTAAAATTTTAAATAAGAACAAAACAAACTATTTACTCTTAATTTCCATCAAAGCTTCTCCTATGCATGTCGATCATCCCATCAATGCCCTTCCCTATTGTTCCTCAATAACTTCATATCTTCGGCCCTTCTGATGCCCTATCTCATCGCTCCATAGCGAGATTCCATCACGGCTTATTCATTGACAAACTTCAGATGCTACCAATCTCATCAATAATAAATTCTCAAGCTTCTCTTTGCCATCAAAGATATGAATTTACACATTATATGTCTCATTACATCTTCCCCAACACTTCTTTGTTATATAGGATTTCAAAATCACACAAAAGTCTCATTACACTTTTGTTGTTGTTTTTTTTTTTCATAACTATCAGCGAGTTTTTAATCTTCCAAACTAATTAATTACATTTTATTCATCATTTTAGTGATACTCATAACATCAAGATTTAAGATAGTACATTCTTGTTGCGTCCTGGAGTATTCGCGGCGGTAGAGAAATATTTAGTTTAACGTCTTAGCATTGTACGAAGATCCAGCACACAAGCAGATAAGTGAGAGGGTGTAGCATTCATACAAGATAATTTTTGTGATGCCGTATCAATTCTATTCATTGATTAAATGTTGATCGGTCTCTCTAAGAACTTGTCTTTCATAGTATCATAAGAATGTTGCTCGGGCAAAGAAGTCAAACCTAAACCTGTAGGCATGTAAGGCAGTATCTTCTATAGAAGACGACTATCGTGCAGGTCGTAATTCATCTTGTATCAGCTTTGGTAGAATATCGCATAGGAGTGAGAATCAATCGACAGTGAGTGCCCGCCTTCCTTGCTCTATCTCTATCGAACGATAAGGAACCATTGATTCCCGAGTCAGACACAAGCGATTTCGAACATCACTTACATCACTAGAGACCATCATTAGACCATCATCGTAGTTAACAACTTGGCCAAGACATGGGCTAATTGATTTGGCTAGCAAAGTGGCTGAATTGTTTAGCCATTTTTTGATCTCATTTGGGGGCAATTCTAAGAATGAGAAACATTCCATTATAATTTTGGATATAAACTATATTGCTCTCTTGAAAATATATAAATTGGTTTTAATCCTTCTTATTAAAAAATGTCTAACCTTGATCCATTCAAAAATTATAAAATTATGAGGCCTTTGTAACTTTTAAAGCTACCAAATAACCATCCCATTGATTTACTACATATTTGTTCATTTTTATTGCATGTAATTGAAATTCCTTTGCATTCGAATCCCAACATCCATCAATCTCCAACTTCCAATGTCTAGTGATGTCCATCTCCCAAAATTCACCATTCATCAATATCTAACATCATCCAATAATTGACATCCAATGCTCATTAATCAACGGTGTTGGATGTCCCCTTCCATATGTACCATCGAGAAATTTTGAGCGAGTTTATCACGTAGAAGCCCACCGTTTCTCTTTATTGACATTATACATTTGTCAATCAATATGACCAACAGTTACTAATGTATAGCTCCAAATATTTATTGATATTCAACTCACAATACTCATATTAGTTTTGCACGAATGCTCATCAAACCACATCATTATACATTTGTTGATCATCATATTTTGAATTTATATATTCTATTCTCGCTTTCTCAGGATAAGATGAATATTTATATTATCAAATCGCTAGCAAATCTGTTTTGATTGAGTAAGGTCCTATGATTTTTTTCATTACAAAATTTTTATAATATTAAGCCACAACTCTTACTTTCTATCACTATTAAATTTTAAAAGTAACACATGTATCATCAAATTAAGCCACAACTCTCACTTACATACAAATTAAGCCAAAACTCTCACTTTCTATCACTATTAATTTTTCAACACAAAACAATCACCACAAACAAATTTATAAAAGTAATCCAATTGGCACCAAATTAAGCCACAATAATAGTCATGAGATGATTAATGATACTAAAAGTAACCCAAGGAGCACCAACAACTATCATTTATTAGCTTTACCCAAAAAGGTTGCCCTATTGAAGAAGTTAGCTAAAATATAATTAATGCTTTTCAAATCTTCAAATTGTTGGATTAAGTCAATCCATGATGCGCAATGATCATTTTTAAAAATAGTAACTTTATTCCCCTCAAAATTATCTCCAATAGAGTTTTTTTTTGTAAGGTTTCTATACGATCTCGTTTGCTTCATATTTGATCACCAATATCTCAATAAAGTCGACTTCATTGAAAACGATGAAAGTGTTACGTGCGGTCATCTGACACCATTCGAAGGCCAATCAGGATATGCCATGTCATCAATTCATTGTGTTCCAATGAATATCAGGTGACGTGACACGTCCTAATTGGCCCCCGAATAATCCGGTGACTGCACATCATAATTTCTCCTGAAGCTGATGTTATCATCCTCACGGACTTCACAATTGTCGATAAAAAATTGTGTTGGCATATCGTGATGCAAAACTAGGCAGAATGAATTTCAAGTATTTAAAATAACGTTAAAATTATGCTACATATAATATCCTGAATTATTCTATTCTCAACATAAATTAAAAAAAAAAATTTCAAGACTCAAAATAACTTTCTTTCTATGGTTCAGGCCAAGCATAGGAGATTCAAAACTAAATTGACTAAGGATTTTAAAGCTTTGAATTTGCATTGAAATTGATGTTGCATATTTATACCCAATTATATTATTATCAACACAAATTCAATATTTTGATGTCCCGACATTTTTTATTTTTCTATATATATTGAGGCCGAGCACTCAAAAGTTGTGTAAGGAAATTCAGTGCTCAAACTGCTAAGAATTTATTTGGGACAACTTTCTATCTATTTTATTGTTGCTTACTTACCATTTCTCAAAAATTCCTATGGTAGAAAGCTGATTTATGTAACCATCCAAATTTTAGATAAATCATTTTACAGCTTTTTGTTTGAAGTATAGGCTCACCAATGGCTAGAAATAAGTTTCCACCGCATTAAATTAATTGATCACAAGAATTTTTATTGCGTCCTCCCACCTGACGTAGAGATACGTCCTCCCACCGCTAAAAAATTGGGTTTTTGCTCGGTATTGCTAGCTATTATTTGGTATTAACGAAGAATATCATCATGTGAAGACATAAACCGAGTTATACCGAGCTATACCGAGCTATACCGAGTTTTCTCTAGGAAAATCTAGGTATTTTTTTGTATTGATCGGTATAGCTCGGTATAGCTCGGTATAACGCGGTATTGGTCTTCACATGATAATATTCTTCGTTAATATCAAATAATAGCTACCAATACCGAGCAAAAACTCAATTTTTTAGCGGTGGGAGGACGTATCTCTAGATCAGATAGGAGGACGCAATAAAAATTCATCAAAAAGGGAGGTCAGCGTCTGAGATCTGTTCGCAGCAATAACTGAAGCTGCTCAGATATCCTTTTCCAACAATTAAAAGGCCGAGCAGATGCTCTCATTTAACTGACAGATTGCCCAAAGCGTGGGCTATCGTGCATAATTTTTTTAAGAGAAGATATGAGAGAGTGTGATCTTAATTGTAGTTAGATTTGAAGTCAAATTCATACAGATCTGTGATGCGCCAAAAAAGAGAAATTTAATTAATTAAAAAAATTAAAAATAAAAGTTTATATTGTGGAAAAGTTAAAATAATCATAATAAATACATAATTTATCTTAATTTAGTGTTTATTTGAGGAAAAATTATTCTGTGCGGATTCCGGACGGAATTCGAAGACCAACCAGAATGAACCACATCAATTTTTTGTTCGGTACCGCTGCGTACCAGGTGATATGACACCTTCTGATTGGTCTCTGGACCTTCCAGTGTCGGCATGGAATAATTTCTCCTATTCGAGACAACTTTATTCCTATTTTAATTTTTTAAAATCGGAGTCATAGGCTTTTGGTTGATACGATTTTCTTATTGCTTCTTAAAACATTTTTATAGTATAAAAATTAAAATATTTATATTAAAAAATTGCTTTAATAAGCAATAAGAAAGTCACCGCAAATGAAGCTGCTAACGCTTCCTCTTTATTTTCTAGAAATTTCTGCTTTTTACACAGCTTTAAAAAAGTTTATTTTTTCACAACAATTTTGAATGAGACAAGGCTACAAAATTTACAGCTACAACTGCTCAAGGATATGTGGATATGTGCCCGTTTGACTTGGTCGATTGCAGAACACTTTGATATTGAAGGGCTGAATCCACCTTTAGTTGATCCTCTGAACATCCTTATTTCAAATATCCACAATATATTATTCAGTACTGATGCAATCAATTCTAACAGACTTCAAGATGTCCAGGTTGTCCAACTCTATATCCAACGTTTAGGATCAAGGAATGCAAGAGCTGGCCAACTTCTGATTTCTACCTATGGAGGTATGCGAAATTGTGGAAGGTCCAAGTCATTCTCGCATCTAAGGAATGAGCTTGCAGACATGCATCGAAGACGCAAAATCTTCGACCCTGGAGGGTTCATTATGATGTCCCTCTTCCGATGATGCGCCTCGACGGAGTCGAGCTCTTTTCAAGCAAGGGGAGTATGATGTAGGAACATCTTTAGTAGAATTAATCCTTAGGAATAGTCTATCCTTTATTAGCTTA